GCAACATCTCAATCCAATCTTCAACAAACTAATCATTTCCGCTTTACAATTCTTCTTCCCTTTCATTTCCTTGTCAAACACGTCACCTGTTTTCTTCTCTTTAACCATATTACTAACCCAAGTCACTAGACTCATGTTTGGATCATAACCTTGTGTTAAGTAATTCTCTGGGAATCTTCCGGTTAAAAGCTCTAAAATCAATACACCAAAACACCAAACATCTGTCTTTTTCGTTATGATTTGTCCTTTTGCTGGTCTATACTCTGGCGATTTGTAGGCAGTCATGAAACTATGTGCGTGATCTGAGCTCATAACCGGTCTTAGAGCGTAGTCTGTTAACAATGGCTCGAATGTTTCGTCTAAAACAATGTTTGATGACTTTATATGACCGTGAGGGATCGTTAGTGTCGGTAACTCGTTGAACAAGTAAGATAAACCTTTTGCTACTCCTTTTATGATCTTTAGACGCGCTATCCAATCCAATCCAGGCGTATCCGCTGAATGATTCGCTGGAAAAAACATATATATTCAAACTGTCAGAATTCCATAGAAAACTTAACTAAATTGTCAACTGGTTTTGAGATGGAAGTCTGCGGAAATGATTAGTGTAATGTAATGTTGGAAACATACCATGAAGATGACTTGCCAAGCTACTATTAGGCATAAACTGAGTGACTAAAAGCTTCTCTTCTTTACGGTAATAGTAAGCAATGAGAGGCAATAGATTCGGATGGTTTAATCTCCCTAACCGTCTCATATGCTCATGAAACTCGTCTCTTCCAACATTGTTCATATGTTTATACCTCTTCACGACCAATGTTTGGCCACTAGATATGGCTGCTTTGTATGAAGCACCAAATGTTCCACTACCAAGAACTTCAGCGGAAGCTCTAAGAAGATCTTGAAGACCGAATCTTTGAATGTCATCACGCACAAATAGAAGCCTGCCTGCTGGATCAGGCATGGATCCTCTCTTTGCGTGATTCACAACGGATTCGGCGGGTTTAGTGTTCTTATTCACTGGTTGATGATAAGTGTAACTCTCTACCCTTTCCTTTCCCGCGGAAGAATAAGCTGACAAGCGATGAGTACGTCGTCTTATTGTTTGAATAAAACATATCACTAGCGCGATGATCACTAGTATTATGCCTACAACGATCAAAATAATCGCTATAGTGTAAAAAGATCCGGTCTTTTTCTCCTTG